GATGCTGCGTTCAGGGCAAGCATGGAAAACTCACCAGTCTTATGCCAATACGGTCGCAATGATGCTTTTAGGTACCAAAATGGAATAGCATGAACATTCACGTGGTGGTTATGTAATACAGCGAATCGATAATAAAAAAAACTGCATCGACAAATTTACATAATCGACGTCATCGATTATTTCAACTAATCGGTGCAGCCCTACACTAAACTGTAACTTTTAATAAGGTCATGTACACAGTTTACTCCTATTTAAATGAAAATGTCTAACCTATGAGCAGAAAGAAGTTTATGAATATTTGGTAATCTCTAGATTTTATTAGCAACATGTTTGCTGCTTTACTCCCTGAGCCTTAAATACTCTATTTCAAAGAAGAGAATGAGGAAGTTTTATTCACGCAGATCCTGTCTACCTGGCTGACTGAGAACAATTATATATAATAAACTTTGTCTACAGAACAATATACTTGTTAAATTATTTTTTTCTTGAGATGCTTTTGGACAACCAAAATGTTTTGCAGACAACCAGGTTTTGCCAACAGGTTGTCCGCTGGACAACCTGAAAAATATCCTTATGTCTACCCCTGAAAATGATCCAGTCTTGTATTTTAGCTCATTTCCTGGCACTGTATACTGAGAAAAAACAGCCCAAATAGAGTAAATATGTGACTTTAACAAAAACCTTTTGATTCTGACTGGCGTTCGTTTCCTATCAGGTAAATTTGACTCTTCATTTATCAGAAGAAATTCTGTGATGCCTCATGTATGCAGGTCCAGCTCATGTTATCCTCAAAGCACTGATCGGAACTGATAATGAAAAAGGAAAATACAATAAGCTCAAATTGGAGGAAGAACTCCAAACAGAGAATCTGCTTTTTAAATGTATTTGACCGCATTTAGATTTATATTATTTTATTATAAAAATACAGTCACCCATCACACTAACAACAGCCTATATGATGGATGAAATGAAGCTGCTACAGTCTGTGTTTCTGTCACAGGGCACGTTAAGAGGGGAGCACGAGTTTGAGTCATTTCAATGCCCCGTGTTTCATATGGTCGTTGCATTTGGCCACGTCATTATCGTCCCTCGGGGTCCCCCTTCAGCTCGGGGTGTTAGACAAATGCCTTCCTGCCTGCCGTAATGTGATGGCTCTGAGTTCAATTTGGCTTAATTTATATAAATTTTGGCTAATAAGGGACAGTTTAAACTGTACCACAGTTTTAAAGGCAGCAGGTGTTGGTCTAATCTGCTCAGATTTTGTCATTGGTACTTAGTGCTGACGTTAGCTCACAATGCTAACGTTTAAGCTAACATTTGTACAATCAGGATGCTCAGGAATGGAGGGGCTAAAGGGCTCGACACACGGGCAGCGACAAACTACAGCGATTAACGGCTGTCATCGCAGCCAGGGTGAAGCCCGACACACGGGATGCTATAGCGATTGCAGCGTTGCAAAACGTGCTCTCAGGTCGCTTGTCTTCACAAAATTTGATTGGTTCTTGACTCTGAAGGTGGGTGTGCATTACGGACGTGTAAACTAAACAAATCTTGCGATGCTAMTGATATTGAAAAACAAACACACATSAAGATACAGTTTTATGAGGAAAAACTTACCATAAACTTCACCCTGGTGCCAATAAATTCCCACAAAGCTTTTTAGTAATCACTTGGTGAAAGTGTTAGCTAACTGCAGTGTGTAACATACTCTCCTCTCATTGGTCAGTCAATGAAACCCTCGCTGATTGGTTGTATGCTAAGTGACAGCGACAAAAGTTGAACATTTTTCAACTTTCATTTGTCGCATCACAAGCTCGCGTGTGCACGTCTACGTGTACGAGCGCGAAATTTCACATGCACTATTTTCGCCGGTCGCTTAGCTGGAGGAGGGCAAGCGATTGTCGCCTCACCGCACAGGCTCCATAGGAAATGAATGGAGAGTGAGCGACGTCGCCTCCTGTGTGTCGAGCCCTTAAATGGGGCTGAATTCTGCCAACTAGTGGTCAGAGGCTAAAATACAACACAAAAATGAACCGCTGGCATAAACGTGCACATTTTAAGCCTTAATTAAATATTGATGCAGTGCTTCAGAGAATCGGATTTTAGGAAATGCAATATTGTGATATTTCAGATTTACCCATTTTATCTCTGGCCCCGACATTGTTTTATATTTTCCATCCAATGCATGATTTTCTAACAACTGTACTACAACCGATCAAAAACAAATACTAAAATAGCTCCACGCTATTCTAATAAACATTACAGCAATAATTCCCGTCAGAAATCTCCTGATCAACAAATCCAGTTTCCAATAGAAACCCTGTTTTAGGAAACTGCCCAGAGCACTGTCCTCATTGGACAACGTGTACATGTGAGAGGTGGGCGGTACCTTTCCGGGCCATCTGAGCTTCCTGTGATCCTGGTGGAGCGTTGATGTCTCCGGTGCCCTGGAAGTAGTTGTATTTCTTCACAGTGATGAGGTTTGGTGCAAACTTCCAAACGTCCTCCCGGTCGTCGATGATACAGACCATTGAATCCCCGCAGGGGAAAAGATTCCTGTTGGTGGAAAACGACAAATAAAACACCTGTAAAACACTGATGGGTGCTGTTTTTACCTCTAGAGATGCTTTGATGACAGAAAATGATGGACACTGAGAAAGAAAAGCATATTTGCTAATTTATAATTAACAATAAAGAAAAGAAAAATGATAGTAGGGAACTATTTGTATGAGTTTCCTGCAGCCAAATAGATGGAGCACAGCATCAAATTACAAAGAACCTAAAAACAACTAAATGATCCTGTTTTGCTGCAACAGGTCCAGACAACTGCAAGGTACAAGCACAAAATACCAGAAGAAAGTGTTAATCCGTTCATCACCTTCAGCAGAGTCAGTTCAGTTCTCACCTAAGATTCCCCGTCTTGGAGAATGGATCGATGCATTCATCTCTAGAAAGGATTCTGTGAGAGAAAAGCTTCTTTTCAGGATCTAAAAAGCCTAAAATGAAAGAAAAAAGACAAATATTTCATTTCTAATCCAGCTGTAGCATCTTATCTAACAACATCCTGACACTGACAGTATTTAACTAATAAAATGACTCTTTGAACACATGATTATCATTTTTTATTGTATTTTAATGCAGATACTTTAACCCTTCGTGTCTTTCCTACAGAGTTCAAAAAAAGCGACTCTGAAGAGAGCTCTACCACCACCAACCCAGGCTGACAATAACTGCTTTAAAACAAGCTGAACTCTCTGCAATGAGGTCAGCAGTAAAATCCAATTCAAAATGCTTTAAACATTCATCATGTGGAGGTGGAACAGCACCGGACCGGGGCTGTCCTTATTATTTATGCCTTGATGAAAGACGGCAGTTTAAATACCAATAATAAACATGCTGCCTAGACCTCCACATAGGCAAAACCTGAGCCATTAAGACAGAAAGACTGCCACGGGTCGACAGAAACCTCTGACAAATAACCAGTCAAAATGTTAACATAAAATACTTCAAGGCTTTAATAAACATTTTAAGATAATTACAACTAGCTTTACAACTAAATGACATCACTTCACAAACATGTAGTTGCTTCAGACCCCATTCCCTTCTTGTAAATCTTTTATGTTGTATTTATTTTGTTCCCCAATCTACAATCAGTACCCCATGGGAACTTAATAAAAATATACACAAGTTTGTACATGAATTAAAAATAAAAATAAATCCAATTTGTATAACTATTCAGATCTTTTGCTAGAAAAATTGAAATTCAGCTCAGTTGCATCCAACTTCTCCTGATCTCTGTTGAGATGTTTCTATACCTGGATTAGTTGTGTTAATAGATTGGACATGGTTGGACGTAAGCAAAATAAAACAAACATGAGGTTAAAGGAACTGAGTGCAGAGCTCAGACACAGGATGGTTGCAAAGAAATAGATCTGCGGAAGGCTACAAAGTTTTGGCTGCAATTTAAGTTCCCAGAAGCAGAGTGGCCTCCAGATCTAAAATATAAAAATATGAGTAAAAAAATGGTTTCACAAAAACAAGATTCTATCAAAAGATGGTTACCTCACCTGAGAGAAGTGACCAAAAGCTTGATGATCACTCTGGCTGAGCTTCAGAGATAAAGTGTGGATAAAGTCCCAGAAGAATAACTAGAACTGAAGGTCTCTAATGATCTGGGGTCGGATTTATAAAACTGGCGTACGCACAATTTGAGCCCAGAAACTTGCGTACGCCACTTTTTACGCCAAGGTTGTGATTTATAAAATCCAAACTTGACGTGAAAATGTGCGGTGCCTCAAGCCAGCTCTGACCCATGCGTACGCTCATTTTGGAGACGTGAAACTGTGACACAGATGGTGAAGTGAGGAATTAGAGCCACACTGTGTAATGATCACTGTCAGATATTTAATTTACCTTCAGAATCAGACTTAAATAAAAGTTTCTGTGCGCAACTCCATTCATCTGCTTCCTCCTCAGACAACCCCGACCCACAGACCCCTCCCTGACTCACAGACCCCTCCCTGACTCACAGACCCCTCACTGACCCACAGACCCCTCCCCGATAAGAACAGCAGGACAGCAAAAGCTTTGGATACACGCGCAGGGCGCGCTCACCTCGCCAGTGTGAACAATAAACCTTCACGTTTAAAGTCCGTGTTTGTCATGCGCGCGCGCAGGGGGATGCGTGCGTGCTTGCGCGCGTGTGTGTGTGTGTGCGCGCGGGGGGGTCTGCCGCGGATAACAGAGCAGGCAGGAGGGGGAGAGGACGAGGAGAAGAGTAGTGGACTTATTTCTAATTTTATCTGACTTATTTAACTTAATTTTTATTTTTTTTTTATCGTGCAGGCTCTGATGGGAAATTGATTTGAAGCTGAGGTTTTTTATTTTTATTTTTTATAAAAATCGTTAGATTACTCTAAAGCAAAATGAGGGAAAATCTGTGTCAATTACAGACATTCTGTTCATGTGAGCAGCTGTCAGTCAGCACCTGTCATCCTCCAGACGCACGAAGGAGCGTGTCTGAACCAATCATATTTGTTGGCATTGATCAGCTGACTGATTTAAATACATCTTAACATTCATGAGGTACTTTGCATTGACTGTTTATGGTTGAGTGTGGGCGTGTAGAGGGTAGAACCTGAGGCGGGACCTCGTGCGCAAACTCTGACGTACAGCTGTGATTTATAAATGAAAGATGCGCAGAAACATGCGTACGTACGGTTTTATAAATCTGAATTTTTTTGGCGTACGCCATTTCCGCCTTTTGGCCGTACGTTCACTTTTAGTATGGTTTCCACGCAATCCTTTATAAATGAGACCCCTGGGCTTTATGTCCACACTCCTCAGTGCAAAACAATTGAAAGCCTTCCAGATCGCAAGGAACTAGGTTCTCCAGTCTAATGAGACCAAGACTGAATTGGCTGACCTCGATTTAACGTATTATGTCAATACTCAAAACCTGCCCAACACCACCAGCACAGTGAAGCATGGTGGTGGCAGCGTCATGATGTGGGGATGTTTTTCAGCAGAAGGAAGACTGATCAGGGTTATTGGTCCCATGATACCAATACTGGTGTTGAACCCAATACCAGCCTCCATACTTTACTGAATGTGTTACAGTTTACTTTTCAATGTTTAAGAAATGTATACAAATTGAAAGAAAATCTTATTGGTTACTTTTAATTATTCTAAAATTTTCTAACAGTATATATTGTGCTGTGATCCAATCAGAGGCCACTAAGGAGAGACACCTTGTTCTAAATGAAATAAATGTGTTTTTAAAGTCATTGTGTGAAGTTCTAACTCAGTAAGTACTCGATATCAGCGAGTACTCAAACTGAAGTACTTGTATTTGTAGTTGGTTTAAGAAAAACTGGTATCAGAACAATCTGAATGAATAAAAGTACTGATATACCTCAATAAAACACTATTCCAAAGGATAGGATTTGATCATCCTTGCAATTAGACAATGACCCAAAGCATGCAGAGAAGGAACACAGCAGTGGATTAGGTTCAACTCTGTCAACGTCTTCAAGTGTCCCAGCCCGGGTCTTATCAAACAGCTCCGGAGAGACCCGGAAAAATACCTCTTCCAAAGATCTTTATACAGTGGTTTGCAAAAGTATTCATACCCCTTGAACTTTTCCATATTTTGTCACATTACAACCACAAACATAAATATATTTCACTGGAATTTAATGTGAAAGACCAACACAAAGTGGTATACAATTGTGAAGTGGAAGCAAAATTTTACATGAATCAAAACATTTTTTACAAATAAAAAACTGAAAAGTGCGACGTGCAAAAGTATTCAGCCCCCTTTTCCCTGAGTGCAACCAATTGCATTCAGAAGTTGCCTGATGACTGCTAATGACTCAAAAGGGTCCACCTGTGTGTAATCTAATCTCAGTACAAATACAGCTGCTCCGTGACGGCCTCAGATGTTGTTTAAGAGAATATTGGGGAGCAAACAGCATCATGAAGTCCAAAGAACACACCAGACAGGTTAGGAATATGGTTTTGGAGAAGTTTAAAGCAGGCTTAGGTTATAAAAAGATTTCCCAAGCTTTGAACATCTCACGGAGCACTGTTCAATCCATCATCCGGAAATGGAAAGAGTATGGCACCACAGTAAACCTGCCAAGACAAGGCCGTCCACCTAAACTTACAGGCCGAACAAGGAGATCACTGATCAGAGAGGCAGCCAAGAGGCCCATGGTGACTCTGGATGAAATGCAGAGAGCCACAGCTCAGGTGGGGGAAACTGTCCACAGGACAACAATTAGTCGTGCACTACACAAATGTGGTCTTTATGGAAGAGTGGCAAGGAGAAAGCCATTGTTAAAAGAAAACCATAAGAAGTCCCGTTTGCAGTTTGCCAGAAGCCATGTTGAGGACACAGCAAACATGTGGAAGAAGGTGCTTTGGTCAGACGAGACCAAAATTGAACTTTTTGGCCACAATGCAAAACGCTATGTGTGGCGGAGAAAGAACACTGCACATCACTCTGAAAACACCATCCCCACTGTCAAATATGGTGGTGGCAGCATCATGCTCTGGGGGTGCTTCTCTTCAGCAGGGACCGGGAAGTTGGTCAAAGTTGATGGGAAGATGGATGGAGCCAAATACAGGGCAATCTTGGAAGAAAACCTGTTGGAGTCAGCAAAAGATTTGAGACTGGGGCGGAGGTTCACCTTCCAGCAGGACAACGACCCTAAACATAAAGCCAAAGCTACAATGGAGTGGTTTAAAAAAAAGAATATTCATGTGTTAGAATGGCCCAGTCAAAGTCCAGACCTAAACCCAATTGAGAATTTGTGGCAAGATCTCAAAACTGCTGTTCACAAACGCTCTCCATCCAATCTGACTGAGCTTGAGCTGTTTTGCAAGGAGGAATGGGCAAGAATTGCAGTCACTAGATGTGCAAAGCTGGTGGAGACATACCCTAAAAGACTTGCAGCTGTAATTGCAGCAAAAGGTGGCTCCACAAAGTATTGACTCAGGGGGGCTGAATAATTTTGCACATCGCACTTATCAGTTTTTTATTTGTAAAAAATGTTTTGATTCATGTAAAATTTTGCTTCCACTTCACAATTGTATACCACTTTGTGTTGGTCTTTCACATTAAATTCCAGTGAAATATATTTATGTTTGTGGTTGTAATGTGACAAAATATGGAAAAGTTCAAGGGGTATGAATACTTTTGCAAACCACTGTATGTCCAGACTGAGTTTGAGAGGATTTGCACAGAAAAATTGGCAGAAAATCCCTCAATCCAGGTGCACGGTTTGTTGGATTAGACCTAAAATAGACCCGAGGCTGAAACTGCTGCCAAATGTGTTTCAGGTCAGGACTAAGTGTCTAAATACACATTATTATTCAGTTGTTTTGTTTTAAATGAATGAAATTATCTGTGTCATTATGGGACAGTGAAAAGCATCAGTGAAAGAGGTCTGAAGCTAAACTGTAACACAGAGGAGACACTTCCATCTCCTGGGCACTAACAGGAAGTACAAGTTCAGAATCACATCCTGACATAATACTGTATTAAACAATAAAATGCTTTAATAGAATCAGTAAAAAATGATAAATATGTAAATTTCACTGTAATTATTCCCAGGACAATAAAAATATCTGTAAATTGTAAACCTGAGAGTCCATTACCAGCAATGGTGTGTGCGTACAGACGACTCCCGAATGTGAAGACGTGCAACTCATAGAGTTTGGCAATTTTCTCCAAGAATTCTTTGCAGTGAGGGCGTAGCCGAGTGTGGAGCATGGGCTCTCCTCGCCCAAGCTGGAAGTGAAAAATGCCCTGAAAGAAACAACATGAGCGACACCAACATTAACTCTTGGGACAAGTTGGCAGAATGAAGCCAGTTACGCAGACCGATTTAAAAAGTTTCACATTTGATTGTTTGGTGAAAAACACATCTGGAAGTTCTGATTTGTATTGTGCTCCCACCTTATTGGACATGCGCTGGAAGTGCTGCTCAGTGGTATGGATTAGTGTCTGGTCCAAATCCACCATGAGGACCAACTTTTTGTTCCGGTGGAGTCTCTGCTGGTCTTCTCTGGCCAGCTGTTTTGCTTGCTGGGAAAAAAAAAAAAAAACAAGACAATGGAAGTTAGATGACAAAGTCTGAGCAACTGGAAATGGTTTCCCTCTCTGTTTTTCCTCTCTGCTGTATCAGTGGAGGAACAAGTCAGAATTTCCAGGGTAAAGGTTGGGAACCAGTAATTCTCCAATCACTTGATTAATCAGTTGCTTATTCAGTCCAGTACTCAACTGCTAAAAAGGCTCAAAAGCTGCAGACCTACTAATCACTGGTCTGGATGTGTGCCGAATTATTTCCAAATGAACATTTCCTTTTGTGGGGTTATTTTGTCAGTGTGTGTAATTATTTGAATTACCAGATTACACATTTAAATTAGGGGTAATTTCTGGAGATCGGCCTTTTCTTGGACAAGATCAGTGGAAAAGATCAGCTTCTTATCTTCCTCCACAAAGGTCTGAAAATCAGCCTCTGTTCTCTGTTGCTCTGCTGTGAGCTCTACCTCATGTCCAGTTAAAACAAGTTTGTATTGTTTCAAGGGTATAGTTCAATGTTTTACAATAAAATAAGATTGGAAAAATTGATATCGCTGTTGCGTGATTAAAAAAAAGTGTAGCTTCTATCCGTTATCTCTCGCCAACACCCCGTCCTATAGAACTCTGTCCTGCAGACCTATGCGGCTCGCAGGGTGATTGGTCAGAACTTTGTGGGCATCTCCGTTTATGCCGAGCAGCGCATCCTTCTGTGTGTCTTTTCGCTGATAATGGTCTGCTCCCCGAAGCCAGATGGAACCTGCAACCCCCATCTGGCCTCTCTTCAAACGTCTACATCGAGTGGACAAAACAACATCTATCCTTCTCTCACTGTTTATCTGCTCAGCTATGAGCTGTGCTACATTCACAGTGCTGTGGGAGAAATTATGATATATCCTGTGTCTTCAGCCTGATTGGTCAGAAAAAGACGTCTGAAATGAATGATTAAGTATAAACCAGGTGTATTTTTTTTCTCAAAAAGTCTGAGTGACACAGGTCTTTAACTTGTAGGATCTCCAACAAAAACAAACCCTGTAGACATAAAAAGCGTTCACATGTGCAACAACCAGACATTTCTGACACTTACAGGTCAGGATTTTTTAAATATTCCCTTTAGCTTTTGGTTCTTTTAATATTTCCTTTGCAGTTCAAGCATTAAAACTTTAGTATTTTATCAGCTCATGTTTTTTTTAAACTTGGCCCAGAATCAATTTTGAGTTTTACAGCAGAAAGCGGACTCATGTTGGGATTTCAGACCATAGCTGCACTGACAGATTAGCTCAGATTACTTTGAGTCTTGTGATCCCAGAGATATTTCAAGATTCCAAGAAATCTTAAAGGAAACCGTGACGTTTTGTCCCACATTCTTCCAGAGAAACTCAATCTCCACTTTCTAAATGTTTAGTTTTAGAAAATACGAGACACTTTAAACTGACCACACGTGATGGAGTGGTACACAAGAATAAATGTAAGTGAGATTTTCCGGTATCTCCATATGACTCACCTCAGAGCTGACCATCAGTTCAGGGACACTGTGCACCATGGAGACTGTTGCTGTGGAGATGGGAGCTTGCTGGTTCCCATTTGTCCCCTGGAGCCTGAGTTGTGAAGAAAAAAAATCAGAGTGGGAGTAATGCATTTTCTACATCTCTCAAGTCCTTCAGCATATTGTGATTGAAGGGATGTATCATGATCTCAACCTAGAAGTTCAGTTTGTGTTCGGAGTAATTTTGACTCATTTCAGTCATGAAAAACATACTGTGACAGTTTGTCTTGAGATTTTTGTCTTATTGTGTAACCATAAAAAAAACTTCCTACGTTTGTTTCTGTCAGGCAGTAATGTTCTATTTAAAGAAAACTACAACCCCTTCAGATTTGTGCTTCCTTTATATTCCAACTAACTACTACTACACTTGTCATTTTAAAAATATAGATTTGGACTGATTGGATCAAATACCATTTCAGACTCTGATAATGACATCATCCTTGGATCTGATATTGATTGGGCTGAGGTCACTAATCCATCCACCAATTGAGACTCAGTTATTTTAAACTTTTTAATTAAAACAAGCATATCTGCCGCCGCAGAGGGATTTGAAAATACTGAATCTGTGACGGTCTTTGTCTGCACAGACATCATGTTAAATTGTACGGATTTTCCCCCATTTTGCAGGTACCTGCAGGACCTATAGAGAAAATTTGACTTTTTTTTTCTTTTTTCAAAACCTCAGCTTCAAATTTAATGTATGTCTCAGAGCCTGTACGGCATAAAAAAATAAAAATAAAACAATAAAATTAAATAACCATCCAACCCACTCTGTCAATAGAAATAAGTTCACCGCCTCTCCTTGTCCTCCTATCTCCAACCCACATTCTTTATTTCCCCACAGCCGACAGTCGTCCCCACTATATCGCGTGTGAGTACAAGTTTTTTGTTAAAACTACAAATTTTTGAGGGTCAAAATGGTGGTCTTGTCCATAACTAGGGCTGCAACGATTAATCGATTAATCGACAACTAATCGATTATTAAAATAATCGATGACTAAGTTAATAATCTTAGTCGTTTTCTTTTTTTTCTGTTTTTACTTTGTTTTTCTCTCCAAACTGCTTTGACACCTTCCACTGCCACATCTGCCTTTCTGTCCTTGACACTAGGGTTGGGTAATATTGGCAAAAAAATAATCATGATTAATTGTGGTATTTAGCTGATAACGATTAGTTTGACGATTAATCCCCTGGAGTCCCTGGACACCCTTATGTCCTGGTCACATGACCAATTTAGTGGGAAAGATTTGCTCTTCATACAAATCTGTTCCAAATTGTGTCAAAATTACTGACTTCAGGCTGTACATCAATTTTTAAATTGTGTTGATAGATAAATAATTACAGAACTTTTTTTTAATGTTCATCTTCTTTGAAGCAGGGAGGAGCACCGATTCTGCCTGGTGGCATTAATCGTATTAATCGTCAAGTGCCAAATAATAATCGATTAATGTTTTTCTGACTATTAATTGCACACGATACGATTATGCCCAACCCTACTTGACACACATGCACAGTAGTGGTAACTGGGGTAGGCCATGGACATCACAAGACATTATACAGACACGCTCTAAGTGTGGGATCATTTTAAGAAAATGAAAGAGAAACCTGTGTAATATCTGCAGAGCATAACTTGGCTTCCACAGCAATTATTTTTAGTTAGCATATAGCTAAAATCTAACCATGGTTATATAATTGCAGCTGCATTCTGGCACGATAAGCTGTATGTTTTATATTCAATTAATGTATGATCTGATTAGTCAACTAATCGAAAAAAATAATCGGTGATTAATCGATTGTAAAAATAATCGGTTGTGGCAGCCCTATCCATAACAGAATAAACTTAAGCCATCCACTAGCCCGGCCAGAGGTGCTCAAAGTGGGGCCCACAGGCCAAAATTGGCCCGCCAAGCCATTTGATTTGGTCCACCAGCAGTTGTCCTGGTTATTAAATTGTAATCTCCTGTCTTATGTAGAAACAGTATATTTCCACTTTTCAACCACTGGTCCAACTATATGTACAAGGAGCTGAAGTCAGACAGTCTTAACTCATGATACTCGCATTATCTTTGGATTATGTTAAGATTAAATATAAAATACAAGTAACTACAAGAGACATTTAGATTAGATTTAAGCCCTTATCTAGATTTGCACACCTTATAAGACCATATATACTCAAATTTTAAATTATGAAAAGTCCCATGAGCCTTTGCTGCCCGAGCATACGTTGAATTTTCTCCGTTTCCATGGGCTGAAAACAAAAAAAACATAGGCAAATGCACTGGCTGCTAGCTTATTCATAAAAATAAAACAATTTTACTTAAGAAGCATTTGCATTTCATGTTTTACATTATTCCATTTGGCCCGCGGCCCTCAGATTGATTTTAATTTTGGCCCTCTCAAGGAAAATGTTAGGGCAGGGCACCCCTGCACTGGCATCAATCATTTGATGAAACTATGTTTTTAAGCTAAATAAAAACAAGATAGTTTGATTGGGGTGGTTGGTTTACAAATGTATACGACTGTGGACATCTTGGATTTTGACATGGCAACACAATTTTTGATAGCAACCCTTTCCTATACATAGCTACAGCTACACACCAAACTGGAAGAGAGTACCTCAATTATATTTTAGGCTATCAAGCTAACAAGATAAACTGGATGGACTGACAGATGAAAGGGGGTGGGGGGTGGGGGTATTTCAAAGTCCCCTCAAGGTACAAAAAAAATCAATAGTGCTCACAAGACGCCGTGCAGCCAAAACATTTAATCAATTATTAAAAAAATGGATCAAATATTCCATAATAGCCATGTACTTTACGGTGTTTATATGTATATACTGTAAATATGCATATCTGTTTATGTATATGTGTATATGTGCATTGGTATATATTAGGGTTGGGCATAATCGTATCGTGTGTGATTAATCGTCAGAAAAGCATTAATCGATTAATTTTTGGCACTTGACAATTAATACGATTAATGCCAACATGTAGAATCCGCTCGCTGCTCCTCTCAGCTTCAAATATGACGAACATTAAAAAAAAGTTCTGTAACTTATTTATCTATCAGTTCAATTTAAAATTTGATGTACAGCCTGAAGTCTGTAATTTTGACACAGTTTGGAACAGATTTTTATGAAGAGCAAATTTTTCCCACTAAATTGGTCATGTGACCAGGACATAAGGGTGTCCAGGGACTACAGGGGATTAATTGTCAAATTAATCGTTATCGGCTAAATACCACAATTAATCGTGATTTATTTTTTTGCCAATATTGCCCAACCCTAGTATATATACAGTACTATACACTCACCGGCCACTTTATTAGGTACACCTGTCCAACTGCTCGTTAACACTTAATTTCTAATC